CAAACCATGGCTGTTAATAGATTAATAGGCAAACATGAAAAGAATGAATAGATTGTCTTATTTAAATAAAAAAATTTAATTTTTTGGGACCTTAATATTTACGGCATAAGAAAATGTCTGTCTACTTTTTCTTTCAAGGGACTTCAATAATATGTATTAAAAGCTGGAAACGAAATGAGTCTCATAAATTGAAATTGCTTTATATTTGATTAAACATAGAGAATTTTTTTGGTTGAGATTTTTTTCGTGTGAAAAATAATATTTTTATGGAATTTTTGTTTAAAAAGTAAAAATAAATTTAAGGAAACGACAATCTAAACTAATATAATTATTATATTATTTTTTCTAGTAATATTTTGTTAGATCTATTCATAGTTGGTGTCGAGAATTTAATTACATGTACCACATTTAAAAAAATGCACCTCTTTCATTTAATTAAGAAACACTCGAAAAGAAAATAAAACAACAAACAACTCCAACAATGCTATTTGTAAACACTGAAATACAATAAATCATATATAAATAATTCTTCTCAATCTCTAGAAGCAATGTCATCAATAAGTAAATTTATGTTTAAGGGAAAAAAATAACTTAATAAATATTTGTATTATTCAATTCTTATATACTTTTCTACTGCAATGAAATGTCAAATGTCTTGTTTAGAGCAATACCTATAAATTCACTTTAATCATATTCCATAATCTTATCCTGCCAAATCATTTTCCATGTAATCTTATTCTTCTAATTTAATTCGATGTGTACAGAAAGGAATTCATTCACATGTTAACCACTTTAAAAAATCCCACACGGTTAGCCGTATAAGTTCCATCTCAAAACATGCATTGATAAGGACGTCAAAGGTCGTCTCTTTGAGTAGCATAAATCTATGGTAAAACAAATACACCCTCAAATCTCAATATACAGAATTTGTCAAATTTTTTAGAGCAGACTACATGGAATAATTGAATTTTTTAATATATGTATAGCACTGTTTTTTGATGGACTTGTCTCAGTCAATGAAGCTGTAGTGTACGTATAATTGTTAATTAACTATTCATGGAAAAAGTTGCGTGGAGCATTTGCTCTGCCTAATTATCTATGAGTTTTGCAGCCCCCTCGCAAGATGGGGGGCCGCTATTTCCATTTCCTCTATATATATGAACATCATAGTTGAGGGGCTTAAATTAATTATCGATTTGACTGTTGGCTTTTGATTTCTTGAATATAAGCACGATTTCTGAAAATTTTAGTTCTGGGTCTTGGATTTCTTGTTGAATTCTCCCTAATTCCACCCTAATTTTCGTGTGTTCAGATAAGATCCCAGAAAATTTGAGGGCTTTTCTGAACTCGGTTTACAAATTCTGATTATTTCAAGATTTGCTTTGCTTTTATTTTTTTTTATTTCTTTGTTTCGGCATTGAGATTACTGTTTTTTGTCAGTCAATTTCAATTTCTGTTTTCTTCTGAAAGAATCTTGAACCAAAAGAACTATTAGATTTTTCAGGTAAAAAGATAATTGTTTTGTGGAACTTTTACAATTGTATTAAATCCAAGTGTTAGAAGCTGATTCTTCAAGCTTTCTCTTCAGATCTCTTTGCTCAAGGCTCCCAAGACTTTGATCGCTGTATATTTACTCCAAAGTTCCAATCTTCATTAGTAGTGTTTATCAAATAGTTCAAAGATGACGACTGGAACCCTTAAACGATCGAAAGAAAAGAAGTCGAGGAAGAGCAAACAAGTAGTTATTGTTGATGAAAAGTCTCCTTTATTGCCCACAAAGAAGCACGAGGCAGACGGTGGGTCTGATGAATTCGATGGAGCCTCCTTTAGCGGGGCAGTGTTTAATTTATCGACCACGATTGTTGGAGCTGGAATCATGGCATTGCCAGCAACAATGAAGGTTTTAGGACTTGTTGTTGGAATTGCTATGATCATCTTTATGGCATTCTTGACAGAGGCTTCCATTGAGTTGTTGCTTAGGTATAGTAGGACTGCAAAATCAGTTTCTTATGCAGGTCTAATGGGGGATGCTTTCGGAAAGTATGGCAGAATGTTGATACAAATCTGTGTAATAGTTAACAACATTGGCGTGCTTGTTGTATACATGATTATTATAGGTATTTCTTCAATTTAATTGAGTTATCTATTCATTTTTATCTGTTTTTCATTTTCCATATTGATCCACGATGTTTTTATTGATTGCTGCGAACTGAAGGTGATGTGCTTTCTGGAACCACTTCAAGTGGAGTTCATCATGCTGGTGTTCTTGAAGCTTGGTTTGGACAGCACTGGTGGAATGGAAGATTTTTTGTTCTTCTCTTTACTACCCTGGCTGTATTTGCACCATTGGCCAGCTTAAAGCGAATTGGTGAGTTGCTCATCTTTTAAATCGGAAAATATATGGAAGTTAATACTTGGATGTCTTGATTATTAAGTTCAGCACACCAAATGAATGTTAAATCCTGTTAACATTTAATAAGCAGAATCTGGGAATTGGTTGGTTGAAGTTGTCTGAGAGGCTTACTTCAGTGGTAGTATTCATCTTCTGAGTTATATAATGATTGATCCCAGATGGCTGATGTAGAGTTCTTAGTAAATGGATTTTAACTTTTTTTTTTTCTCTTAATAAGAGAGTTCTTAATTGAAATCTGGCCTGACTATCAGAGAAATATATAAGCCCATGAATGATTCCCAAAATTGTTTGAAGAAAAGGATTTGAAGGTTTTTGTCGAAAAAATTTACTCTCTTATTTCAATGTAGATCCAGCATTATAGTCCGACTTCCCCATCCCACGAAGGATGATAGTTATTTTCTGCACCTATAAAATACATTAGAAGTAATCATTTTTTCTTCTGCTTCCTGTTACCTCTTGATACTAGTGGAAATTGAATATTGGTTTCTTGCAGTAACAGTTAGTGTTTTTCATTTGTGGTTGCAGATTCATTGGGATACACATCTGCGTTATCAGTTGCATTGGCTATTGTATTCCTCGTTATTACTGTCGGAATTACTGTCTACAAATTAATAAGTGGAACTGTTTTGATGCCTCGATTGTTTCCCAATGTTACGGATCTTACATCATTCTTGAACCTCTTTACTGTAGTTCCGGTTCTTGTGACTGCATACATCTGTCACTACAACGGTATGTTCATCTGATATCAAGATTTGTTTTCTGCTAGTTAATGCTTCATTTTGGAGATGCTAGGATACTGAAAAAATACATGGTTAAGGATATGCAAATCAGATTAACACAGACTATTATTCGCGCCATTGGGTAGGTGAAAACTCTGCAGCCTGAACCTATTACCTCCAGAGCAATTTGATGACAACTTTTTCCCAATTATTCTGTTTTCTGGCTTCTGCTTTTAAATTATAAAGAGAGAACAAAGAAACACACTCCAATGAACATCTGGTTTTCTTCTTGTATGTTATCAGATAAAAATAGGTTTTGACAGAGAAAATTGTTTATTGTCGGAAACACTAGAAAAATTTGGTTCTTTGCATTAGAACTGAACATAAACTCTCTAAGTAGAAACAGTTTAGGCAGGCATCCACATGCTTCCTTAATAATGACTAAATTTTACTGCTATTTCAAACTACGCATGAAAGAATGGACGGAGGCCCTAACAAGTTCAAGTTATTTGGGTGTTTTCTCTCCAATACAAATGATCATTTTACCTACCATTGTCTATTCTAATGAAGTGAAGGTTTTGCAGTTCACTCAATAGACAATGAACTTGAAGACAATACACAGATAAAGGCAGTCGTGCGAACAGCCCTCTCTCTATGCTCAAGTGTTTATGTATTGACAAGTATCTTTGGGTTCCTCTTATTTGGTGATGCTACACTTGATGATGTACTTGCCAACTTCGACACGGATCTTGGAATTCCATATAGCTCCCTGCTTAATGACATTGTTCGTGTTAGTTATGCTGCACACTTGATGCTTGTCTTTCCTATCGTTTTCTATCCGTTGCGGATAAACTTGGATGGCCTCCTCTTTCCATCTGCAAGGTCTTTGAATTCAGACAACTTGAGGTTTGCATCGCTTAGCGTTGGGCTCATTGCAGTAGTCTTGCTGGGTGCAAATTTCATACCCAGCATATGGGATGCTTTCCAGTTTACTGGAGCAACGGCGGCCGTTTGCATTGGTTTCATCTTTCCTGCTGCAGTTACTCTCAGGTAACCATGACTTCTCTACTATTGGGACCACTGTAAGATAATAATGATGCATCCTTGTTTTGCAAGTTTAAGAATCTGGAGTCTACTGCTCGTAGAAATACATTGAATTGTTTATAAGTTGGATTGTACACCACTGGACACTGAAAGAAGCTAAAATCTTGTTTCTGTGTTCTGAACACGTCATCTAGGTTTAAAGACGTAACATGACAACAAGGTAAATTTGCAGATGACTTACTGTGGAAGTATTTATTTGGAGAATTTGAAGGCCATATTTCTGTGTCGTATTTAAAGCATAATACAAAATCTTCTCCGTACAAAATTTATAAGCCATCCATTCTAGTTTTAAGTTTCCATGATAGTAAATGCAGAGGAAAACTGTTTGCTTTATAAGCATTAGCATCTTCTTTCGATGATGGTAAATGCAAAGGCCCTGTTTTCATTGTTGAGAATGTGAGAACAGAAATGGCTGTCCACTTCCATGTTGATTTCGTCTTCTGGAGCACTATTAGTTGAGCAACGTTTTAGTAACCTTTGCCATGTACTCCTTGGAGAAAAAGTACCTTGGAGCTCATTTTCTACTAGAATTGGATAGGACTGGACACTACGGTGGACATGATTTTCTCTTTTTTTTCTTAATTCTTTCTAATGTTCCTATAGTCCATCTTCTCAAACATGCTATTGATGAATTGAGGACTTGATAATCCTTAGGTTAGTTTTTATTGGCACAATTTAACTGTGCCACAAAATTTAGGATTAGTTTGTGTAGGACTGGAACTGACCGACCACAATTAGTTGCAGAAATTTATGTTCTCCAGAGTTTAAACCATGTTCTACACAATTGCCAGGGGTGTAAATATATGTAAAAACCTTTTTTTGAGTCTCTTCCTTGTCTTATTTTTGGGACCTATAAGTCCAAAATCTCATCTAGTGCCTCAAATTGTTTTTCTTGATGTTGTAGGGATCGATATGGCATAGCAACGAAGAGAGACAAAATCTTATGCATATTCATGATTGTCCTTGCTGTGTTCTCCAATGCGGTGGCGATATATAGTGATACCTATGCCTTATTCAAGAAGAACCCAACTCAGAGAGCGTGATCTCCTTTCGCTCGACGATGCATTGAATCCCTGAGAAAATGCGGTCTAGAGCTTCTCTCGAGGCAGGTTTTAATAAGTATCTCCATATCGGCTCAACTTTAAACGTTGAGCAGCTTTTCTGGAAGTGTGATTTGTGAAGTTCATGCTACTTGACTCCACCTGTATTATTTTGTTGCTGTGTGTTTTCATATATATTGTACACTCTGTGTATACACTAAATGTGAGAAGTTGTTCTATAGTTATGCATTCTGTTTACCCAGTTTGGTTCATGATGTAATATTTATATTGTCAGTAACAATTACTTGCCAGTTTGGGTTATAGATTATTAGATTATTTTCGGAAACTTATTAACTCGAGGACATGCTCTGCAGCACTACAGCTCGGATAAGTAGTTAGACCGATAGTTTTCCTCCCAGCCCCGTGAGCGAATGGGTATTCTTTAACCACAAAACTTAAATAATAATAATAATAATAATAATAATAATAATAATAATAATAATAATAATAATTGGTTTCCTTTGGGCTTCAACATGGAAACACCTTTTAGAGTTTAGGTCTATCCAGTACATCATCTTGAAAATAAGATTATTTAAGTCCAATCAATATGAGTTATAGTTATTTCAAGCTCTAAAAGGCTAGCAATTCGGCAATGGTTCATTCCACCGTTAGAAAAGGGGTTGAAAGCAGTCTATCGGTTTCAATCCTAAACAAAACAGTATGTTACTGTCATCTTTCTAGTAACTTGATAATAAGTCAGTAGCGAGTCAATTTACTAAAGAAAATGCAGCCTCCTACCTTCTTTTGCATCCTTGAAAGGGTGGATTCCCCCTGTAGAGCCTTTCTAGAGAAAGGAAAGCTCCAACTAGTATATTTCAACATGTATAGAATTTAATACAAATAAATGTACAAACACAGAAATCTATATTTTTTTAATACTTAACAAAGTTCTTGATATCTATTCTCTAGAGAAATATAATCCAAATCAAGTCTTCTATTGTGTGGTTTATAGTCTCTAAACATCACGTTCTTCTAGTTCATCCAAAGTTTTATGCTAAATATTGTTGTATTAAGCTTACAATCTACAATTATGGATTTTGATACAATGATTTATCTAATTTTGGAGAATAACGTTTTTCATCAATGCCCATCTACTATTTTGTATTGATGCGATTAATAATTATGATAGTTCAACATTAGCTACAATGTCAGAAGTTCACAAAGGGAGGCACTGACAACTCTGAGAGGAGGGCTGGAAATGAATTATCTCTTCTGGAGGGATGTGCAAAACAAGGACCCTACTAGTTTAAAAAATGATAAGGCATGAGATTATCAATGAAGAATTGAAAGATCATTAAAATAGGGCCACTCGTGGACTCACACCTCCTAAAATGTAACAAGGAAGGTATCTTACCTCCTATTCAATGGATTACCAGGTCGAACAGTCAACCTCCCTCAATCTTGGACAAGTGCTAGCTGCGGCGACACTAAATGCAATACTTGCCTTGGCATATGAGGAAGTGAACCTTAATGCTGAAACCTACCAAAGAAAATCAAACCAACGATTCTCTCATATGGGGGACAGGCAGATAATGAAGTGCTGAACCTAGAAATAGGAATGAAACAACTCTCTATTGTACCTACCACCACTCTTACAGACATAATACCATCGATTGAAGGGATATCGCATTGCATACTCAAATTGACAATAGAAGGAGGAACAGGCATCCCCGAGAAGACATCTTGTTAGGAATGATGCCCAACAAAGGTGGGAGAATGATAGAGAAGGACCCAGAGAATGGCAAAGGTAGAGGAGGAGCCCCTAATCGATGATGGTTGTAAACTCATTCGAGAAATAGACACAATTTTTGGAGGCATATATGTTGGGAGAGAAACCAGAAATGCACAAAGAAGCTATGCAAGGGAGGCCAAGGATTCCTTAATTATGAGCTTCATAGTCAACATGTCAGTGCGCACTATCCACATTGTGACGCCTTAGTCGTGAGGGTCGTTGTAGCTTGAAATGGACTCAAAAGAATGTTGGTGGACAGCGAAAGCTCGATTAACATAATATTTGGAGCAACTTTTGTTAAATTGGAAGTTGATCATGAGCTGACCTCGACGAACTCCTCTTTGTACAATTTTACTCGCGACATATTGTCCTAAGAGGGAAAATCACTCTAGCAATAGAGATGGGGACGACGCCATTAATTGCTCATTAGTTTATGGAGTTTTTGGTAGTGGACAAATGTTCTACCTACCATGGAGTGCTTGGGAGGCAAGCATTAAAGGAGTTATGGGCCGTCACATCTATCTACCACTTATGTATGAAGTTCCCAATGGAAAACGGTATCGCCACAATCATAGGTGTTCAAAGGAGTGAAAGAAAATACTACTCAATCTCCATAAGGAAAACCGAACCAAGAGACGTCAATGTAATTCTAATGGATATTGACATGGATGAAAATCCTAAACAAGGGCAAAACCCTGAACAAGAGGAGGATGTCAAGATGGTAGAAGCATCTAAAGAAGATATAACCCTAAAGAAGGGAGAGCTGCTGAAGAAGTGGCTAATTTTGAAGATCTAGATCATCGCATAATTGATTGCGAACCTCAAATAGCCTTGGTTGATGGGTTGATGAGTTAGAGAGTTTCATGGTAGATTTCTTGGACCCTTACAAATCGTTACAGGCTGTAAAAAACCTGCCAGCAGAAGTTAAGGAAAAGTTGAAGTGTTTCTTGCTTGACAATTTGGATATCTTTGCATGGAAACACGAGGAAATGGTTGGCATTGATTCAAAAGTTACTTGTCACCATTTAAAAATTGATTCCAAAGATACCCTTCACAGTCAGAAAAGAAGGGCCCTCAACCTAGAAAGGTATGAGGCACTAAAGGATGAAGTAAAAAAATTGATTGACGATCGCTTCATCTGATATTTGATTTATTCGAAGTGGGTGTCAAATCCTATCCTTGTTAAGAAACATGATGGGAAGTGGAGTACAGATTTTTCCAATCTTAATCAACCTTGCCCCATGGACATTTTCTCACTTTCACGAATAGATCAACTCATTGATTTTACTACTGGCCATGAACTATTAAGCTTTATGGACGCATATTTAGGCTATAATCAGATTCCAATGCATCTAGTGGACGAAGAGCATACGTCATTTATAATAGACAAAAATCTCTATTATTATAAGGTGATGCCCTTTGGGTTGAAAAATGTCGTGGCCACCTATAAGAGACTTATTAATAAGATATTCACCGACCTCATTGGAAAGACAATGGAGGTATACGTAAATGACACGCTTGTGAAAAGCTTGAAAGTAGAGGATCTCGTCAAATGCCTTGATGAAGCTTTTCAAATACTACAAAGGTATAGGATGAGATTTAACGCCTCAAATGTGACTTTGATGTTCTTCAGAGAAATTTCTAAACTACATGGTCAATTAAAGAGGCGTTGAGGTGAACCCTGAAAAGATCAGAGCTTTAATTGAAATGAGGTCGCCATAGAAACCCAAAGAGGTATAGAGCCTTACTGGACACATAACAACCTTGAGTCGTTTTCTCTCAAAGGTAATAAACAAATACCTCCATTTATTTAAGGTCCTAAAATGAGGAAATAAATCTCAATGGATGGATGAGTGTAAAGTAGCCTTACAAGAGTTGAATAAGACTTAGGACAGGCTCTCCTCATCTCCAAGTCTAAACTTAAGGAGCCTATGCAACTATATCTAGCTATAACCTCTGAGGCTATCAATTTGGTGCTTACAAAGGAGGAAGAGGGTCACCAATTGCCTGTGTACTATGTGATCAAAGCACTCCTTGTAGCAAAGACCTATTATCTAGACATAAAGAAGTTGACTCTCTCTTTGGTGACAGTTTCCATAAACTTCCATAAAGTTAAGGCCGTACTTTCATGTGCATACCATATAAGTACTCACTAACTTTCCTTTTAAACAAGTATTGCAGAAGCCTTATGCTTCTGGGAGGCTAATGAAATGGGCTTTGAAATGGGCTTTGGAACAAGCTTTAGTAGACTTTAAGGCAGAGTTCACCCATATTCCAAAAATGGAAGAGGAGATCGAACCCGCCAAACCTCTCAGTGGAACCTCTTTGTTGATGGCTCCTCAGGGGATACCGGATTCGGGGCAGAAGTGGTCTTAGTTAGCCTGAAAAGACATAAGCTCAACTATGCTGAGAGGTTCGGTTTCAAGGCTACTAACAATGTGGCAGAATACGATGCCCTTCTAGCTGGCCTTAGATTGGCTAAGGATGTACGAGTAAAGAGGCTGGTCACCAACGGTGACTCATAGTTGGTAGTCAGCCACGTTAATGGCAATTTCTTGGCTAGGGATAAAAGCATGTCCATGTATCTAACGTTGGTCATGGAATTTATTCCAACTTTTGAAAAGTTTAAGTTGGTACAAATCCCACGTCTGGAGAATGCTCATGCCAACGCTCTCTCAAAGTTAGCAACCAGTAAAGATTCTGAACTACTTACTGTTGTACCTTTAGAGCACCCTCCAAGACCTTCTACTTTTAAAGGTGAAGAGGTGATGTAGGTCAAAGACAATCCTTTGTGGATACGGCTAATCATAGCATTCCTCAAAGATTAAGCATTACACTTTGACAAAGAGAAGGCGCAGATGCTCAGAAGACGAGCCCCCATTTTTTTTTTTTGGATGAGGTGCTGTACAAGATAGTTTTCCCTTACCCTTACTTTGATGCATAGGTGGTGAACGAGCCACATATGTGCTCCAAGAAATTCGTAAGGGAATATGTGACAATCACATAGAAGGATGATCTTTGGTGTGAAAAGTGTTGAGGCAGTGATACTACTGGTCCATCCTAAAAAGGATGCATAGCAGTTTGTCAGAAAATGTGGTAATTGTCAGCGTTTTGCAACTATTGAGAGACAGCCTTCTCAAGAGCTAAGCGTCGTTTCTAGCCTTTGGATATTTGTCAAGTGGAGGATTGATCTTATAGGACCCCCTACCTAAATGAAGGGGCAGTGCTAGCTTTGCAAATGTCGCTATTGATTATTTCACAAAATGGGTTAAAACCAAACCTCTAGCTAAAATTACTAAAGCCAACACTTCCAAGTTTTTGTGAAAAAAAATTATATGTCGATTTGAAATTTTCCATTCAATTATCTCGAATAATGGCCATCAGTTCGACAACAAGAAGGTCAGAAACTTATGCGAAGAACTAGGAATCAAAAAGCACGTCTCCTCTCCCTATCATTCTCAGGCTATTAGACAAGTGGAAGCAATTAATAAGTCCACCAAATATACACTCAAGACGGAGTTGGATGCTTTTAAGAA